CACAAACAGCTAGCGGTTGTTCTGCAAAGTCTGACTAAATAATATCAATTAGACTTAGAAGCCAGTCAAGATAACCATCATTCAAGTCTATGCTCCAGCTTACAGGAAGAAGATATATATATATTCCATATACAGATCAAACAGAAAGCCAAAATGCATCCTTGTCTGACATCTTTGCCTCTAGGGAAACCATCCTGGTTTTCTGCATTCTGTTTTAAGAGTACCATCTTTCCAGAGTACAGGCTACTAACCCATAGGGTCACCATAAGTCAGTAGCAACATGATGGCATATAACAGCAACAGATGTTTGTTTCTTATCAGAAAGCAACATAAATAACAGAGCAATAGTTGGATGAGATTTGTGGAACAATAGAGAAAGAACTGCACTAAGACCAAGGAAAAACATATTCAGATCCCCCCATGAAGCTCCCTGGAGGGCATTAGATTATCTACGATCATTCAGTGTAACCTACTTCAAAAACTTCTTGTATGGAGGAAGGGTCATGTACACCATCTTGGGTTTCTTGGAAGAAAGGTGGGATACAATTATAAATAATCACAGCAATATTAAGTTTATTTATGTGGAGTAGAAATGAGACTGCTAAATCACACGACAGTGAACACCCTGTTACAAGTACTATAACTGAATATGGTCCATTCAAAAATGGAAGAGGCATGGGATGGCTCAAATCAACTCTGTCTTCTCTGTTCCCAGCTTCTGTATTTAGAGTGGAAAAGTCTGCCACAACCATTTACTTATATCCCTCTGTACACAATTAGAATCCTTTGCATAATCAGGGGACTTGACTAGAGATGAGCACGAACCGAACTCAAGAAAAACTAATGAGTCGTACTGGTTTGTAGTTTGGTTTGTGACCCGGTTCAGGAACTCTATTTTGCTGAAACAAAATGAAGTGCCATACTCCACCCACCCACCCCCGGAGCTGTGATTTGCTTTGGCAAAACAGATGCCTACCCATCCTCTTCTCACTGCGCCTGTTGCCTCCCTACTTGGTCCTGCCGCCTCCGGCACTGCTGCCGCCATCGTCAGAGACAGTGGGCTGGCTTCCCTTGCCTGCTGCCTCTGCACAGGAACCCACAGCCCAACTGATCAGAGTGCATGTGCAGAGGCAGGCACATGCACAGAAGGCAGCAACCAGCTTCCCTTTCGTGAGCCTGGGCAGTGCCTATGCACATGCACTTGACCCTCCAGCTAGTCAGGGCAATGAGCAGGCGTTCGGGTGCCTGCACAGAAGCAGTGCCGGGACTCCTGGAAGGGACGTCCAGTTGCTACTTTCTGCACATGCACCCATCTCCCAGCTGATCAATGCAATTAGCTAGGGGTTGGGCACTTGCACAGAGACAGTACCCAGGCTCCTCAGACTTTTGCCACTATGCAACTGTTGCTGCTGTGGTTGGGCAGCCGTAGTGTGGCAGTGGCGCAACAGGAACAGGTAGGCCCCTCCCCCACTGGGCATGAACCTAAAATCAGACAATGATTTAGTTTTCTGGCTGAGTTGTGGTGATTTGTGCTATGAACCATCACAAACCACAAAGTTTCAGGTTCCTGGCCATCTCTAGTCTCGAGTAAGCAGATATCCCAGTTATGCAGGAGGTTTGCGGAGGTATGAATTGAGCTGGGTATGGAACTTCCACAACAGAACTTGGATAACATAGTGGCCATCATGCTGCCTAGGCTGGTTAGGGAGCTAACATTTGAAAGAGTAACTTCTCCAAGCTTTGCTCCTGAAGGTACAGCCCAAGCATACTGTACTTCTGAACCAAGCACACATTAATGGAATACTGTCATGACTATATTGTACAAAGAATACCAGCAAGAAAAGACAGCAAAATGCAGGCTGTGTGTTCTTGCTGTGAATTACTGCACTCAGATTCTGCATGAATGAAATGGTGCTGTTGCATTGCTGAAAATGTCCCCAGACTGACAGTCTGTCAGTGGAACAATGCATCAAAGGCTGGTGGTGCTTCCCAAAAGCTGATAGTAATAGGTTTCTCAAATCATGTCCCCAAAAACCAGTTTGCTTCACACTGAGAGCAACATATAGCATCAATGCCTGCACAATGTTCTTAAACCAGGAGATGCTAGGCTAGGTCTTCTTGATATACAAAGCAACACTGTCACATCGTGGCCATGCTTGAGAACTGCACCATTCAAGAGAGAAATAATGGCAATTTGTCTTTTCATGTTCTCATGATTTTTAAAAAATATCCATTGTTCTTGTATTTTTATGACAGCCAGGAATGCCCATCTGATACAAAAAGTAGTTTTATCCTGACATTGGTCGGGACAAACCTGCCTTTTGTATCAGATGGGCATTCCTGGCTGTCATAAAAATACAAGAACAATGGATATTTTTTAAAAATCATATACAGTATATTTAACTTTCATTTGCATGGGGCTTGCATAATCAACTCCTCTTCTGTAACTAGTTTGCTAAAAATGGAAAGTAGGATAGTAAAAATAAACCTGGCGTTAGGCAAAATATAATAATAATAATCTTAGAACTGCAGAGCTGGAAGGAAATGTATGGACTATCAAGTCTAAGGCCTGTCAAGGAGGCACAGTGGAGAATGGAACTTCTAACTCTTGTACTTAAACCACTGTCAAGTGCTTCTGAAATAGGTGTTGCCATAGCCGCCTGACAAGTTTGTCAATGTGCAAGACACTTTTGATGAGTGATTATTCCTGTGCAGTATTTTCATTTACACAATAATTTTATGTTGGACACATCCCAGAGGTTATTTGGGGGGAAAGAAGAAATAAAGGACATACCACTCTTAATTCTATTTATCTGAAAGAAATAGTGACATCACAGCACAAATAGAAAGAGACAGTTCTCTGAAAAAAGGATTTCTGCTTGTCTTGTGTTGTCTTCCTGTCATAGAAAATGAAGGCTGGAAATATCTTCAATGCGTGTAGGTTGATGTCGTGGCATCAAGTCATAACTAACTTCTACTGACCCTAATAGGGTTTTTAAGGTGAGATATTCAAGGAATGGTTTTACCTGTTCCACTCCACCTCAGGTTACAAACCCAGGTCTCCCAACTCCTAGTCTCTTGATTAACTCTATCCACTACACCACATTGGGTGTCTGTCTGTCTGTCTGTCTGTCTATCTTTTCCAAAGCACACTCAGTTTTTAAATTACATATATAAATATGTACATATAAAGCAAAATCAAAGCAAAGCATGCTGCCTATATACCGCCCCATAGCGCTTCAAGCACTCTCTGGGCGGTTTACAAGTTAATTATGCAGGCTACACATTGCCACACACCCACCCCCCCACAGCAAGCTGGGTACTCATTTTACCGACCTGGGAAGGATAGAAGGCTGAGTCAACCTTGAGCCGGCTACCTGGGAATTGAACCCCAGGTCATGAGCACAGCTTTTGGCTGCAGTACAGCGGTTTAACCACTGCGCCACGAGGCTCTTATTTAAATATATATATAGTATACAGTACAGTATATATTTCCAAAGTGATCTTTTAAATCAAAAGCTACTTCGCTATTAAAGGAGAGAAAATGCTGCTGGTATTTATTACCATTTTAAAATTATTTAAACAAATAAGCAGAATGATCTGTTGTAGAGCTCAGTTGGCTGAGGTGGGCTCTGCCCTCTCTGTCATAAGGGCAGCCTTATTGCGATTCTTTCTTGAGATAATTTCTGGATGCAAATGTTTAGTAGAAATGAACTTCACTCATGTGAACTCATTTAAAATTTGAAATGGAATACGGAGATTTTTTTTTAAGCCTATGTACAACTGGTGTATCTCAGTGGGTCAAAGTGCCTAAGATAACTATAGCTCAAAAATAACTTGCTGGCACATAATCATTTATTATTTTGAATGGGGAACCACATACTTTCCAAGAAAGCAGATTGACTGCTTCCGGTCACTACCAGTCAAAGACCATCCTTTGTCGGCAGGGTTCTCAGCAATATTTTTTGAAATTTATATTTTTATATGTTTTTAAAATGTTTTAAAATTGTTTTAAATTCAGACCAATGTTTAATCGTTTTTTAACATATAGCTTTGTGTGGCATGTTAAGTTGTTTAACTGCATGATTTTAACTGTTGTGAGCCACCTTTTGGGTCGCTTGTAAGGAAAAAGCTGGCATATTCAAGAAAGCATATTGGCCCCCTCCTTCCTGTCACTACCAGTCAAACACCATCCTTTGTCGGCAGGCTTCTCAGCAATATTTTTTGAAATTTATATTTGTATATGTTTTTAAAATGTTTTAAAATTGTTTTTAATTCAGACCAATGTTTAATCGTTTTTTAACATATAGCTTTGTGTGGCATGTTAACTTGTTTAACTGCATTTTAACTGTTGTGAGCCACCTTTCGGGTCGCTTGTAAGGAAAAAGCTGGCATATAAATAAAATAAAAAAATGTTTCTCTAGAGAGGGTTTCATGCAGCTGAATGTTCCTCCTCACCAATTATTATGTACAATGTATCTGTGAAGATTCCCAGCCATCCAGATGAGGTTATCTAGAAGTTGAGTCATGGCAACTGGACTTCTTTCTTATTAGGCTGAAACGTTTCGCTATTCATCCAAGGAGCTTCTTCAGTCTGAAAAGAGTGAGCAATGTTTTTTATCCTACAAAACCAATCCTAGATACTAGGGAAAAGAATCTGCTTTCTCCCTTACATGCCGGTTTTCTACAAGCAAGAATTCTTGCAGCCAAATATGCTCTTTCCTCTGTACAGAAGTTCCTTTCTTCTGAGAGGCAGAACTTTCCTGTATTTACATTTATTTTTAAGGACAAACGCAGCTGGGTCACAAGTAAGGCTTCTTTCTACTCTTGCCTTCTCTCCCGGGCATGCCACCTTTTTTTTAATGCAGGGATGATCTACGTTTCCCCTTCTCCCTCCCCAATCCAGAGCTTGGAAACATTAATTTATTTGATTTATCGAAAATATTTTTACCCCGCCTTTCTCCTTAAAAGGGCCCAAAGGCGGCCTTTTTTAAGGACTACAGTGCTCAGACGACGACGTTACGTTTGGGGACTACAGTGCTCAGCATCCCCTAGCCAGCAAGGGGAAATGTTTGGAGGGCACGTTACACACTAAAATTTACGAACGCGGGCCACCTAGGGAAAGACTCCCGGGAAGGGAGCCCGCGTCGGACCCGGGTGGGCTTCTTCGGCGGCCTTTCGTCAGAAGACCAACCCACAAAAGTCTCCACGAAAGAGGCGCAGGCAGGGAGGGCGGCCTCCGGAGGCGGAGCGGGAGGACCGGGAGGGAGGGCAGCCTCGTCGGACCCCCGCCTTCTCGCCACCGCCTCAGCCTCCCTGACACGGCTGCTGCTGCCGCCGTCGCCGCCTTTCTCCTTCGCCGCGATGGATGCCGCCGCCGCGGGCGAGAAGGAGCGGGAGGCCGCGCAGCTCTTGGCCGAGGCCGAGAAGAGAGTCAAGTCCTCTCACTCCTTCCTCCGCGGTCTCTTCGGGTGAGCGAGCGGGGCCGGCGGGAAAACGTCGGGACAGGCAGAGGGCGATGTGGTGGTGGTGGGGACGACGACGACCGGGATGCCCCGCTTCAGGCCTCCCTCATCAGACAGCCGCGGTGTCTCCTCCGCGGTGTCCCCTGAGGGG